AGGGCTGGCGGCCCGGGGGCCCAGGGGGTCGGAAAGTTTCCTTAGCGACCTGTTGGCTGAGCAGCCGCGGGTTCGCGCCTCCCGCCGTCACCCCCCGAAGGTCCCCTCCTGCCTCCGGCCCCTCCAGTGCTCCCGCAGCCCGGCCCTTCCCGGCCGGTTGAGTGAAATTCCCTCGAGGTTTAACAGCCGTGAGCGCTGGAGCAACGCACCCATAGATCTCTGACAACGTTCCCTTCTGATGCCTCAGAAATGGCAGGTTTAACTCCTTGTGCCCAACGGCTCTTTGAAAGTAGGTAATATTTATTACTTAGGAAATAATAAACGTTTCCATATCGCATCACCTAGAGCTAATTTAGATTTCAGGAACGTATGAGGCTGTAAAAGAGCCTTTGGCATGAGAAAGGCTTAGAAGGACCATCGGTGCTTTCGTGATCTGTGCCTTGCGGAGCAAAATAGGAGGCAAAACGGGTCTTTAAGCTCCGTGTTTTTCAGCGTTGCTGCTGCCTTGTTTCTCTTTGCTTCTGGCTGGTACCAGCCAGCACCGACAAGCAAGCGACGACATCGCCAGGCAGATGTGCCGGGTTCATCAGTGCCAGTGTTATGCTTGTGGTGCTGGCGGGGTGTCTGTTCCCTGTGGCGTATTTGAAACTGAAATTTCCCATCAGACTGTTGTATTGGGTATTTTGCCACTGAAAGTGGTGGGGTCTGGAGGAGGAAGTCACACGGGTGATGGGAAAGGCCGTCGTGGTGGTCTGCTGCAGTTCAACACTGGAAACTTTGCTATTACGGATTTCACTTTAGTATCATATATTGATAGTTGCTTAGCAGCAGCGGGGCTAAGTCCCAGCAGATAAGACATTCCTTTTCCTCCGCAAATGCTCCGTGCTCTTCATAACGTCAGCTGAATCGGTGCAAGAACATATCAATTGCCAGTGGATGTTTTATGTTTCACATCTTAAATGTTTCTAGAACCCCGCTGCTGCCCACAAAGGCCATGGAGAAGAGGTTGGAAGCCAAGTTCAGCATTAGCGCCCGATTTCCGTCACGATACTGCCTGGGAAAATCTGCAAGGGAGCCAAGAAGTCTGCAGCTGTTCTACCTGTGCGCTTGCCTGTGTGCCTTGTGCTCCTCAGCAGGTGATTCTTCTGTTCGGTCTGGGACTGTGCCTGCAGTTTTTATGATATTTATCCCTCTCGCTTGTTTAAAATATTCTGAGAGGAAGGTGAAATTATTCACTGCTAGACATTGTAGCTGGTTTAAAAGGCAAACAAAACCCCACCCTCAATAGTTAATAAATGAGCTGCCGGAAGGGTAGGAGAGATGTGGAGCACCAGGGGGTCACTTCTCATGACTGTATTGCTCTAATAACCAACTGCTATTCTGAGTAACCGGGTGGTCAGCAGCAGGGTGTCTGTCTGTCCCACCCACCTACTGTCGTGCATCTTCACGCGTGGCGCTGGCTGTCAGGCGCTTGCCTGTTATCTCACAGAGAGCTTTCTCTGAGCTGAGAGTCTTTTTTTTTTTTTCTGTGAAATGAACAAGTTATACTCTGGAAAATAATTTCATCGAAGGAATACTTAAAGCAAGCTGGAAGGCAGGAACGCTTTTTTTAGCCCTCAAATGTTTAAGGCTCTCCCCAAATGCAGTATGTCAATAATCTGTATTTGCCTACAGGCAATTCTTATGTTTGGGTTTATTATTTCCTGTTCAAACTTGAGTAACCAACCTCCTGCTCAAGTAAATAACCACGTTAGTGGCTTGTATGGAAGTTTGCAGGTAATGGATTGTGTGTGGGGTTTTTTTGTTTAAAAAGTTCAGATTCTGACTTTTCAGAGAGAGCGTTACGTTCCTGTGAGTGTTTTGAGGCCACATCTTCACCAAGAGGTGGTATTTTTCCTATGTGTGCGTGTAGCATTCACCAGATCCTAGTTAAGAAAGTTTGTTCTGTGCCTTTTTTTTTCCTCTTTGTTCAGTTGCAGTGAATTACAGGCTCGAGGCAGCGGTGACCTCGGTGTATATCAACCTGTGTGACAGCTGCCAGCTGCTTTCTTTTTGCTGGAAGGTTGCTGGGTCTTAATGGTAGCAAGATTTGAAAAAGGGGGTTGTTTTCCTATGTTTCTTGGTTATGTGGATGTGTTCTCTAGGCTGCTGCAGTGTCTCTGGTGTTTCACCAGGCCTTCCTGGACACTTACTGAGCAACAGATTTGATTAAGCTAATGAGCTGCATGACCTTAATCTGCTCATTTAGAACCTGGAAAGACATATTTGTATTCCCGGTCCTAGCAGAGGGCTCTCCGTGCTGTGTGTTTGGATGGTGTGTCAAGTGGATTGTGGGTTTCCTTGCAGATTGGGCTCCTTGCGTGGCGTTTCCTGTCTTTAGTGGTATCTTAGAAGTCTAGAGCTAGAGCTGTGAATTCTGTGTCACTCTTAGAGGGTGTTCCGGGCGGTGCTGCAGTGTTTGAGGGCTGGTCTGCTTGGGAGAGTTAAAACTGTGAAGGGTGATTTATGTGCAGAAATAAATATATGTGACATAGTTATCCTGATGTGGACACTTTTTCCATTGTACAGCTTTTGTTCTTTTGGTCTTGTGTCGCTTAGGCAGCAGAGTTTGCTAAGCTGAAGAGGAATTATGGCTGCCTAGAAATTAGCGTGATCCTGCAGAGTTACGCAAGAGGAACTATGTTGAAATAATTGGTTACATGTGACAGATTTAAAAAGTCTATCGAGTCAAGTCTTTAATCATTAATCTGATATCAGGAGAGATTAACTGCCTGAGCAAGTCTCTGAACCTGAGCTTATTAATAGAAACTGTTCTTGTCCGTTCCATTCCCCTGCTGTTCAGCAAAGCTGTGAGCTGCCTCGCTGGGACAGGAGTTCCTGAGAAGAGCAGCGGGTTTTTGTACTGATATACTAGGGAAGAAAAAAAAAAGACAAAACCAATATTACAAAGTGACTAAGCACAGCCACTGTGCACCCGTCTTGTGATTTGTGTTGTGCTTAGGCTGGGTAGGCTGCTGGTGCTTAGGAGGGAACTTGTCCTCAGGGACGTTCCT